CAGGCCTATAATCGCAGCACTCAGGAGATGGGGCAGGAGAATCAAAAGTTCAAGGTCTCGTTGGTGCACGCCTTTAATCCTAGCACTCCGGAGGCAGACACAGGTGGATCTTTGTGAGCTGGAGGCCACCCAGGTCTACAGAGGCAGTTTCAGGACAGCAAGGAATGTTACACAGAAAAACCCCGAGTCAAAAAAACCCACCAATCAAACAACCAAACAAACAGAAAGTTCAAGCTCATCTTTGGAGACTGGCATGGACCACATTCGAACCCTCCAGTAGGCAGGTCACGATGCTTCAGGAAGCCATAATCTCAGCACTCGGGAATGAAGCAAGAGGTCATTCTGGGCTAGAGGTAGACCAGGGTCTCGAAACATGCATGCATACATACATACACACATACACACATATAACATAATAAAATAACATCCAAAGTCAGCAATGGTTTGGTAGTGGGTCAGGGCGCATACCATGCAAGCCCAATGACCTGAGTTCTATCCCCAGAACCTGATGAAGCCCACCCGGAGTTGTCCCCTGAAACACACACACACACACACACACACACACACACACACAGAGAGAGAGAGAGAGAGAGAGAGAGAGAGAGAGAGAGAGAGGAAAAATGCCCGGTGGTGGTGGCTGGCACCTTTAATCCTAGCACTTGGGAGGCAGAGGCAGGCGGATCTCAGTGAATTCAAGGCCAGTGTGGTCTACAGAGTGAGTTCCAGGACAGCCAGGACTGTTATACAGAGAAACTTTCAGTCTGGGAACCACTGCAGGGGTAGGATGGCAAGGAGGTCCCATGTACAAGACCCCCCAAAACATTCATACACATCAAATAAAAATAAATTATTCACCTCGCCTTTAATCCCAGCACTCTGGAGGCAGAGGAAAGTGGATCTCTGAGTTCGAAGCCAGCCTGATCTACAGAGTGAGTTCCAGGACAGTCAGGGCTACACAGAGAAACCCTGTCTTAAAAAAATAACAACAAAATAAACTGTCCTCAAGTAAATTTCTCCTCTGACCTCCATGGCATCTCAACACACATGGCACACACAGACACATGCACATGAACACAAATAAATAAAATGTTTTTAAATTAAATTATGGCCGGTGTTGGTGGCACACACCTTTAGTCCCAGCACTCTGGAGGCAGAGTCAGGCGGATCTCTGTGAATTCAAGGCCAGCCTGGTCTACAGAGTGAGTTCCAGGCTCCAAAGCTACACAGAGAAACCCTATCTCGAAAAACAAAACAAAAAAAAATAAATTATACATTATGGGGCAGGGCATGCTTAATAGAAAACTGCTTATTGACCTAATCGACCAACCAGAGTAAGAGAGCTGCCGACAGGACGGACACTGAGTCCCCTGAGTGCTCCCCCTCCTGAGGCAGCTTCCAATCTTGACAGAGTGGTCCTCCCAACCCTGCTCTGCTGCATAAGTTAGGTTGCTTTCACAAACCCACTTAAGCCTTATTGTTAATTCTGTGTGTGTGCGCTCGCGAGCTCTCGTTGTGTGTCTCTCGCCTTGTAGCCCTGGCCAGGAAATCACATTCACCTGCCTCTGCCTCCCAAAAGCTGCCTGGAGGACTAAGGATCAAACCCGCCCAGGGCTTCATGAGCAGGAGGCAAGCTCACCACCCCCTGGAGCTGCTACCTGGGTCCTCATGTGGTTTTTCTCTCAAATGTTATTTTCAGTCAGTCATGGGCACACCTGCTATCCCCAAGGCTGCAGAGATGTCTCCCCTGCCTCGTCTACAGATCACCTCTCCTCTTTTCTCAATTACCCCCACCCCCATCCCCTTTGGGCTAGGTAGGGTCTTGCTATGCAGATAAGAGATCCTCCTGCCTCCACCTCCCAAGTGCTGTTTTTGAAGACATTCTCTACCACCCCTGGCTGGATTCTATCCTCTATTTGAAACTTGTTTCTCTCTTTGGACCTGGAAATGTCTCTTTCATGTGTAGTCAAGAATGAAAAAAATACACACTGGCCATGGTGATGCTCGCCTTGAATCCCAGTACTCCCGAGGAGAGGCAGGAGGATCTCTAGGAGTTCAAGGCCAGGCTGGTCTATACAGTGAGTTCCAGGACAGCCAGGCTGGTCTATACAGTGAGTTCCAGGACAGCCAGGGCAACACAGAGAAAAACCCTGTCTCAAAAAACTGAAAGAAAATCAAATGAAAAGATGAACCTACTGGTACAGAGGCTTGGCGTTTGCTCTGAGGTCCCTGGAGCTTTAGGGCTTTGGAATGTCTGGCCTAGAGTCCGTCTTTGGGCAATTTGGATTTAGATGTGCTGGAGTATATCCCTGAGTACCTATCTCCAAGAGGGTGTGTGGTAAGGGTTTTGAATGCTTCTTTCTTGGGGTTTCAGGGTTTTGGTTTTTTTTTTTGTTTTGTTTTGTTTTATCTTGGGTTTTTGTTTTTTAGACAGAGTCTTCTTATGTAGCTTATGTAGCTGGCTGGCCTGGATCTTATAGTGTAGACCAGGCTTGCCTCAAATTCAGAGACCTTTGGACCTCTGCTTCCTGATTGCAGACCAAAGGCTTGCACCACCACGTCCCAATTCATTTTAATTTTGTTTGTTTGGTTTCTTGAGGCAGAGTTTCTCTGGCTGTCCTAGAACTCACTCAGTAGACCAGTGCTGGGATTAAAGGTGTACACTACCACCTGGCTTTCATTTTAGTTTTTAAATTATATTCTTATTTATTTATTGTATTTGTGTGATTAAGTGGATTCTAGCCAATGTGCACTTGTGGGTGTCAGAGGACAATTGATGGAAGTTGAATCTCTCCTTCCGTTATGGGGGTCCCACTGACTAAAACCCGGGCCCCTAGGCATGGCCACA